ATGCACACACACAGACACACGGCCATGCACGCTGTGATGTGAGTTTCATTGAATAGCAGCTTTTACAGCCATCGTATTCCTCCACATCAATCAGAAAGAGAGAAAAGAGACGGTTACAACAAAAGACCTTAACTCAAGTGTGATATGATAGCTTGGCACGTCATCCAAGCATCCACCCAGCTGACGCACTATCTGCACAAACCTCTTACTGTGGCAACACAAGAGAAGTTCATCTACGATTTGAGAGCGCCATTCAATATCCACTCATAATTCCTTTAACTCTGTGTCAGGCTCAATGGTAGCTTTTCTATAGAATTATCTGGGATTCGGTGCTCTGAAGTGCTGCCCATCCTAAAGTTAGAATTAGGAGGATGTGTTCTGTGCTGTCATGACGTGGGATGCGTTGGAGGGCGTAGGATGGGGATGATGCTCAGGCTATCAAGGAAAATCGGAGCAAGAAGCATGACCATATTCAATTTTCACGTCTGAATAATAATTACCTTCAGTTGAGGTGTCACACCCTGGCTCTGGGTACTCTATATGTTGAGCCAGGGTGTGTATATTCTATGTGTTTGTGTTCTATGTTAATATTCTAGTTGTTCTGTTTCTATGTTGGCCAGAGTGGTTCTCAATCAGAGGCAACGAGTGTCAGCTGTTGCTGGTTGTCTCTGATTGGGAACCACATTTAAACAGGCTGTTTTCCCACAGTAGTTGTGGGATCTTGTTCCGTTTGGTTTGTTCCGTGTTGGTTGTGTTAAACCTAGGACTTCACGTGTCGTTATCGTTTGTTGTTTTGTTATTATTATCACTAAAGATAATAAAGTATGTTCGCTCAACACGCTGCGCCTTGGTCTACTCCGTTCAACGATCGTGACATGAGGAGCCTAATAAGGATAGTGTTACAACACATTTCACAGCACCTATCCGGTGTGACAATGAAACATACTGTATATACTGAACAAAAATATAAACACAACTTGTAAAGTGTTGGTCCCATGTTTCATGAGCTGCAATAAAAGATTACAGAAATGTTCCATACGCACAAAAAGCATATTTCTCTCAGATTTTGTTCACACATTTGTTAACCTCCCTGTTGGTGCGCATTTCTCCTTTGCCAAGATAATCCATCGACCTGACAGGTGTGGCATATCAAGAAGCTGATTAAACAGCATGATCATTACACAGATGCACCTTGTGCTGGGGACAATGAATGGCCACTCTAAAATGTGCAGTCACACAACGCCACAGATTTTTGAGGGAGTTTTTAGGGAGCGTGCAATTCGCATGCTGACTGCAGGAATGTCCACCAGAGCTGTTGGTGGATATTTTTATGTTAATTTCTCTCTCATAAGCCACTTCCAACATAATTTTAGAGAATTTGGCAGTACGTCCAACTGGCCTCACAACCGCAGACCACGTGTAACCACGCCAGCTCAGGACCTCCACATCCGGCTTCTTCACCTGCGGGATCGTCTAAGACCAGCCACCCGGACCATTGATAAAACTGTGGGTTTTGCACAACCAAAGAATTCCTGCACAAACTGTCAGAAACCGTCTCCGGGAAGCTCATATGAGTGCTAGTCGTCCTCACCAGGGTCTTGGCCTGACTGCAGTTCGACTTCAGTGGGCAAATGCTCACCTTCGATGGCCACTGGCACGCTGGAGAAGTGTGCTCTTCAAGGATGAATCCCGGTTTCAACTGTACCGGGCAGATGGCAGATGGCAGACAGCGTGTATGGCGGTGTGTGGGCGAGCGGTTTGCTGATGTCACCGTTGTGAACAGAGTGCCCCAAGGTTGGCGGTGGGGTTATGGTATGGGCAGGCATAAGCTATGGACAACGAACTCAATTGCATTTTATCGATGGCAATTTGAATGCACAGTGATACTTTGACGAGATCCTGAGGCCCATTGTCATGCCATTCATCAGCCACCATCACCTCATGTTTCAGCATGATAATGTACGGCCCCATGTCGCAAGGATCTGTACACAATTCCTGGAAGCTGAAACTGTCCCAGCTCTTCCATGGCCTGCATACTCACCAGACATGTCACCCATTGAGCATGTTTGGGATGCTCTGGATTGACGTGTACGACAGTGCGTTCCAGTTCCTGGCAATATCCAGCAACTTCGCACAGCCATTGATGAGGAGTGGGACAACATTCCACAGGCCACAGTCAACAGCCTGATCAACTCTATGCGAAGGAGATGTGTCCGCATTGCATGAGGTAAATGTTGGTGGTCAGGTCACACCAGATAATGACCGGGTTTCAGATGCATATCTGTATTCCTAGTTGTGAAATCCATAGTTTAAGGGAAATATATTTATTTCAATTGACTGATTTTGTTTAATGAACTGTAACTCAGTAAAATCTTTGAAATTGTTGCATGTTGCATTTATATTTTTGTGCCAAGAGTGTGCAAAGCTGTCATCAAGGCAAAGGGTGGCTACTTTGAAGAATCTCAAATGTAAAATATATTTTGATTTGTTTAACACTTTTTTGGTTATACATGATTCCATATGTGTTATTTAATAGTTTTGATGTCTTCACTATTATTCTACAATGTAGAAAATAGTAAAAATAAAGAAAAACCCTGGAATGAGTAGGTGTCCAAACTTTTGACTGGTACTGTATATACAGTTGAAGTCGGAAGTTTACATACACCTTAGCCAAATACATTTATACTCCGTTTTTCACAATTCCTAACATTTAATCCTAGTAAAAATTCCCTGTTTTAGGTCAGTTAGGATCACCACTTTATTTTAAGAATGTGAAATGTCAGAATAATAGCAGAGAGAATGATTTATTTCAGCTTTTATTTCTTTCATCACATTCCCAGTGGGTCAGAAGTTTACATACACTCAATTAGTATTTGGTAGCATTGCCTTTAAATTGTTTAACTTGGGTCAAACGTTTCAGGTAGCCTTCCACAAGCTTCCCACAATAAGTTGGGTGAATTTTGGCCCATTCCTCCTGACAGAGCTGGTGTAACTGAGTCAGGTTTGTAGGCCTCCTTGCTCGTACACGCTTTTTCAGTTCTGCCCACAAATATTTTATAGGGTTGAGGTCAGGGCTTTGTGATGGTCACTCCAATACCTTGACTTTGCTGTCCTTAAGCCATTTTGCCACAACTTTGGAAGTATGCTTGGGGTCATTGTCCATTTGGAAGACCCATTTGCGACCAAGCTTTAACTTCCTGACTGATGTCTTGAGATGTTGCTTCAATATATCCACATAATTTTCCTTCCTCATAATGCCATCTATTTTGTGAAGTGCACCAGTCCCTCCTGCAGCAAAGCACCCCAACAACATGATGCTGCCACCCCCGTGCTTCACGGTTGGGATGGTGTTCTTCGGCTTGCAAGCCTTCCCCTTTTTCCTCCAAACATAACAATGGTCATAATGGCCAATCAATTCCATTTTTGTTTCATCAGACCAGAGGACATTTCTCCAAAAAGTACGATCTTTGTCCCCATGTGCAGTTGCAAACCGTAGTCTGGCTTTTTTATGGCGGTTTTGGAGCAGTGGCTTCTTCCTTGATGAGCGGCCTTTCAGGTTATGTCAATATAGGACTCGTTTTACTGTGGATATAGATACTTTTGTACCCGTTTCCTCCAGCATCTTCACAAGGTCCTTTGCGGTTGTTCTGGGATGGATTTGCACTTTTCGCACCAAAGTACATTCATCTCTATGAGACAGAACGCGTCTCCTTCCTGAGCGGTATGATGGCTGCGTGTCCCATGGTGTTTATACTTGCGTACTATTGTTTGTCCAGATGAACGTGGTACCTTCAGACGTTTGGAAATTGTTCCCAAGGATGAACCAGACTTGTGGAGGTCTACTGTTTTTTTTCTGAGGTCTTGGCTGATTTCTTTTGATTTTCCCATGATGTCAAGCAAAGAGGCACTGAGTTTGAAGGTAGGCCTTGAAATACATCCACAGGTACACCTCCAATTGACTCAAATTATGTCAATTAGCCTATCAGAAGCTTCTAAAGCCATGACATCATTTTCTGGAATTTTCCAAGCTGTTTAAAGGCACAGTCAACTTAGTGTATGGAAACCTCTGACCCACTGGAAATGTGATACAGTGAATTATAAGTGAAATAATCTGTCTGTAAACAATTGTTGGAAAAATTACTTGTGTCATGCACAAAGTACATGTCCTAACCGACTTGCCAAAACTATAGTTTGTTAACAAGAAATGTGTGCAGTGGTTGAAAAACGAGTTTTAATGACTCCAACCTAAGTGTATGTAAACTTCCGACTTCAACAGTGTATTACTTTTATTACAGTAGCATGAAAACATATTCAGAAATGAAAACTCCCAACAACTACTCAAAAACAAACACAAAGAAACCTCAAGGAGAGAAAGAAAGGAAGCTAATGAGATCCAATCAATTCCTTTCACATTTGTTTTTTGGGTATGTGGGTGACAGAATGAATATCCCATTTGATTGTCAATAAAACATATGAAAATGTATGCACTCACTAACTGTAAGTGGCTCTGGATAAGAGCGTCTGCTAAATGACTAAAATGTAAAATGTAAATGGAAGAGAGGAGGACAAAAAAGAGATGAGGGGAAGAAAATAGATGTGTGTGTGGAGGTGGGTGTGCGCGTGCTGCATTTAATGGAGGTTTTAGAAACCATTAACACATGTCCCTAATTGAGACAATTCTGTCGATATTGACAACCCAGAAGGAAAATACAAATAAAAACGTTTTATGTGATCAGATGAAAGATCTCTAAAACAACTCAAAAGTAAATGATAATTTAATTTATATTTCAAGGAGTCCCCTCTCTTGTTGAGGGTGCACATCTCAGTGTCCTGTCATCAAACTCCTAGTGCATCCTAATCATCACGTCATAATCATCACGTCATAATCACCCAATTTCAGCCCAGTTTATTCCACTCCAGAGTGATGTTGTTTACTCGTAAAAATAAATAAAAATAACTGCTATTTTTCAAGCGATCATAAATATTGTTTAAAATGGGCGATGACAGCTGACAGTGACGTGTCTGTCCGTGCAAATTTCCAGAATGGTGATTTGAAGACTTTTGTGACTCGCCCTGCCCATCCTTGCACGCCGCGTTATAAAAGTCCCCCCCATGAGTGGGTACCCTCCAGAACGCACAGGAGCAGAAAACACCTGAGGACAACTTCTATCTAAACCATCCTTTAAACCCTCAACTCAATGTAAGTACTTCTATTACATCTATAGGCATTATTTAAACAAGATTGGTTTAGGATTATTTAAAAAAAACCTTTTTGTCTAATCATTCTATACACAGGCATATAGGTTTTATACGCTTTTCTATAAAGCTTTTATCAACCAATTTCATTGCCTTCACTGAAACTGACATTTTTAAAGAATTAATCTGAGGAAGTCAAATAAATATAAATTACATTTTAAACATCAAAAAGAGATCAGTATAAGGTATCCTCCAGTTAATTTCGACAACAGGTAGGGAACATATTTCACTTTTGACTTTTGATGTTCTCAAGTTTTACCCTGGTATAAATGTAAGATTTCATAGCCTAAGCAATACAGAGCTTTGACAATGAAATGGTTAATATGGTGCAAAATCGTTTTCTGATATTTTTCTCTTTTGATTCCTCAATGCTAAAGATGCATCCTAACTTGGGTACCTGGCTGGGCGCACTGACGCTCCTCGTCTGGACCTTTATATGCATCGGCACGCTCGCGGAAGGCTACCCCGTCAAACCTGAAAACCCCGGAGAAGATGCGCCCGCGGAGGAACTTGCCAAGTATTACTCCGCTCTTAGACATTACATCAACCTCATCACAAGGCAGAGGTGAGTGCTTTGGTCCGGGTGTGACAAACGGGTGTTCTAAATGAAGAAATTATAGGGCTGAAAGTTTTGTTTGTGAATATCCTTAGATATTATTTTATGAGTAAACCATAGGCCTAATTCATAAAAAAAACAAAAACATGATGATACTGTGATTAGAAACGTATTTGTTAGCGCCTTTCATACAAACAAATTACAGCCCAAAACCGAAATTGCTGTAGGCCAACAAATGAGCACATCAAAGAAACAGCAAAAACATGGGGGTGAAGTAATCAAATGATTAATATCAAACTATATAGAAACTCAATAACTAACCATCTTGGGGTCTAAATATGTGGGACCCCTTTAAAGTTAATTAACCCATTTGTAGCTAAAATTGAACTCTGGTTTGTAGGCCTAATAATGGTGTTATTACTTGCTCTAGTCCAAATACCAACTAATCCAATCATGAATTCAGGAGAATAAAATAATAAAGATGAGTCACATAAAACAGGGGTAAACTTGTTGTCATACAGACAACACTGTTTGTTGTCTGTATGAAACAACATATTTAATTCTACAGCAGTACCCCACTGATGCTTAATTAGCCACATACCACAGATAAGGCTATTCACCCTCCGTTCAGTCACACTCTATTCACAAATCTAAGTGTGAAATTAGTCTTATTTTATTTATTTATTACCAGGTAAGTTGACAGAGAACACATTCTCATTTACAGCAACACCCTGGGGAATAGTTACAGGGGAGAGGATGGGGGTTGAATGAGCCAATTGGAAGCTGGGGATGATTAGGTGGCCATGATGGTATGAGGGCCAGATCGGGAATTTAGCCAGGACACCGGGGTTAACACCCCTACTCTTACAAGAAGTGCCATAGGATCTTTAGTGACCACAGAGAGTCAGTACACCCTTTTACCGTCCAATCCGAAAGACGCCACCCTACACAGGGCAATGTCCTCAATCAACAAAACAATTGTTTATTGTTATACATAATGGCTCTAAGGACAGGTCTTTTTAACCAGACATACATTCATATTGGCTCTAGAACATTTATAGTGGGGTAAGTTATCTTATGGGGGTAGCACAGAAGGTCTAGTTCCTGAAGTTTAGTCAATGAGAAGTATGAAATTCCTGTCTCACCATCTCCTGTTTCTCTCTCTCTCGCTCTCTGTCTCTCTCTCTCGCTCTCAGGTATGGGAAGAGGTCCAGCCCTGACACACTGGATTCACTGATCTCAGAACTGCTGCTGAAGGAGAGCACAGATACGCTCCCACAGTCCAGGTACTGTCACTGTGTGTGTGTGTGCACGCGGATGTGTGTGTACATCTGTGTGTAACTAATGTTTTGTAGGCAGGTATATGTGTGAGTGATACACTGTTTATAGCAGTGCATTGCATGCATGTGCCTAAATATTGACGTTCGTAGACAAAACACCATTTGAATGGATCTGTTCCTCTGGTCTAATGGCAGTTTGCACATAATTGTTATTTGACACTTGATATGATTTGTTCCTCCCCAGATATGATGAACCATCGTTGTGGTAAGCGTGTCACTGTCCCCGCCCAGCACCCTACCATCGCCACGACGATATACTGACCTCAACAACATGGCCACCTCACCATGGCCGACGCCCCATCCAAACAACCCCAGCTAGCACCCTACCATCCCCCTCTCCATCCAGATGCTACTCCTGTGCCAGATAACTAACTGCACATGTACAGAGTCTTATTTAAGTCACCTTTACATTGGTAAGTTAGGGGAGAGAATTATTGATTGTATGGTAAAACTGTGCTATTAAATATTCATTATATAATGGATCTACTTCTTTGCTGTTATTGTAAACTTATTTCAAATGAGTCTTTAGCCAAGAGAGGAAATTAAGGTTCCTCCTGGCTTTGTACATTTTACTGTAGAGATAGAACTTCTTTAAATATATGTGCATGCGGACACACAACACACATCTTTGCAATCCCTAGAGAGGTATTAGAAACCAGTTTGGACTCAACTCTTTTCAGGACAATGGCAATTTGGTCGCTAAGGGCGCACTCTTGTGGTTGATATGTTTTACTGCATTAAACACGACATTAAACTGTAACCTGGCCTGAAGTCAGAATAGCTACTGGCCAGCCAGGTAGGTTCCCTGTAGAAAGTCTAAAGCCTCTCTCACATAGTGTTGATGAAAAAAAGGTATACAAAATATGATACTATAATTGGGACATTTGTAATGAACTGTTCATTGGAATGGAATAACCTTGGTAACACTTTGTCATATTACCCAACATCAAGTCAACATTGAATCATTGTCATACCAACAAGTGTAGAATGAGTAGACTGCTATTGGAGGTGAATCTAGACATATTTGAGACAGAATAAAGAGGACAAGGTGAGAGAAATAGAGGAGAGAGCAGAGAAGATGTCATTCAACATTTTGTGAAATTTGATGACTGAATATTTCTGACTGGTGTGATTGTTGTTATGGTGAATTCTGAACTAAAACTAGCATACCTATTTGGAAATCTCAGTTCAAGTGCAAATTAATGTCTAATAGGAAATAGGGCAATAGGACCTTTTGTGATTCTAGCTTGTCATATTTGGTACACAATGTACCTTCAGCACTGCAGGCTATTACTACAGCTATTACTACAGGCTATTACTACAGGCTATTCTTACTACAGCTATTACTACAGCTATTACTACAGCTATTATTACTACAGCTATTACTACTATAGCTATTACTACAGGCTATTACCACAGCTATTACTACAGGCTATTACTACAGCTATTACTACAGCTATTACTACTACAGCTATTACTACTATAGCTATTACTACAGCTATTACTACCGGCTATTACTACTACAGCTATTACTACTATAGCTATTACTACAGCTATTACTACAGGCTATTACTACAGCTATTACTACTACAGCTATTACTACAGGCTATTATTACTACAGCTATTACTACTACAGCTATTACTACAGCTATTACTACAGCTATTACTACTACAGCTATTACTACAGCTATTACTACTACAGCTATTACTACAGCTATTACTACAGCTATTACTACAGCTATTACTACAGCTATTACTACAGCTATTACTACAGGCTATTACCACAGGCTATTACTACAGCTAGTCTCAAATGGTGCATGGAAACCAAATTCCTAATCATGTCCTCTAATTCCTAGTTAATCCTATTTTATAATTCCCACCCAATGTAATTCCATTAACTAAGCACGCCATTGTCTACTACTGTAATGGTCCACAGTACATAACATTGTAGCCTATTCCATAGCCTACTTCACACATGTAGACTGATAGGCAAGGCTATTACATCTATATATTCCCATGACTGAAGAGTTGGGAATGAAACAATCACAATATTTAACATTCAACTCAAATATCGTTCACATTCTGAATGGTTACACTGTATCTATCCATCGTTGGATGTGGGGGATGGACTTCGACTATGATTCGTCCATCTCTGACATACGTCACCAGTAGGGGTGCGGTCTAATGGTTTGATTGACATCGTGTATTCACTGATAGTTAGCTGTGGGACCACGACAGCTGAGGGGGTTTGAATTTCCAACCGGGACAGCCACAGAGGATCACCGCTATCTTACACACACAATTACCGGTAAGTCACCGCCCAGAGACATGGTTTAGAATGGGCGATTAAAGTTAATTCTGGAGAGAAACTTTATGTGGAAGGAAAAGGGGACTTTTTGTTCTCAAAGATGGATTTAGCACGTAAGGAAGTCCAGCCTGTGTGCTTCCCCTGCTATGTGTGTGGCTGTGGGAGCTATATTGGGAAGGGTTTACCGCTCGTCCAATGTGATTGCCATGCTCATGCTTTGAGTGCTTATTCTATGCCTTTTCTCCACAGTATCTTGACTCTGTGAAAGGATATATAATAATACTCTCCAAATGCGCCGGCTACAATGCCCTGGATGGGTAACAAAAATGGCTGCACGTGTGTGACGAGATCACTGTAATCGTGAACAATTGACAGCAAAAACGCCCCGATAATTTGGCAAGCATGTGGACAACTCGTAGGCCCAATCGTTATTTCCCGGACATCGATCTATTTCTGTGTACGGTAACTGGATCTGTGCGTGTATTTCTCGCGCCGCTGATAGGAAGTGGCAGGAAGTCTCTCTATCCCATTATAAAAACCCGCACCGCACCAGCAGAGAAAAGGGGTTGTATTGAGAAGAGGAGCGTGGCGTACAACGATTAGATAGGATATACACGCCAGTGCCAGGCAGGGAATGAGGCAAACCACGTTTGTTGACCACAACAATCAGGCATTGTTTATTTGTGCTGAGCTGGTGAATGGATGTGGGTCAGGTCGGGTATATCTGTTGCTTGGCAGAGTCTGGCCGAGGCAGAGGGCAGTAGACCCATCCTATAGATTTATTACCTCAGATTTGTCTGAGTGGAGTGTAGAATCCTGTCTGTCACTACATAGATGACCTCGTAATCCTGACCATCTGAATTTGATAATATCATTAATTATAAAAAGGTTTAGGTGAATGAACCTTTTGCCTGTAAGCAATTGTAATTTTTTTGTCATGGTGTTACTGGGCTGGTTTAATACCCGGGGCCATTTGGGTATTTTTCTGTCTGGGCTGGGCCTAGAGGTGGAGGTGATTGGAGGAAACCCCTGTAACTAAGCAACATCCTGGGGGATCCCTGTAGGATGAGCTAGAGTAGCTCCATGATGTTAATGTAGGCCTATGGCACTGTTCCAATAAATGCATCTTTGTTTTCTTCCTTGTGTGATATAATAGCCTATAACACCACTGGATAGTTGAAAGCTAGTCACCAAAGGAATGAGGGTTGCAATCAGTCTATCTTAAAGGTCCAATGCAGCTGTTTTTATCTCAATATCAAATCATTTCTGGGTAACAATTAAGTACCTTACTGTGATTGTTTTCAATTAAAATGGTCAAGAAGTAAGATAGCTTCTTAGCAAAGAACAATTTCCCAATCAAGAATT